CCAAAAAAAAAAAGTGTGTGTGTGTGTGTATGTGTGTGTGTGCGCGCGCCCGCAGGTCCTGGGACTTGAACTCAGCACCTGGGATCTGTCTCTTTGCTTTTTCACTCAAAGCTGGCACTCTACCACTTGGTCTATAGCTCCACCTCTGGCTTTCTTTTCTTTTTGTTTTGTGCTAGTCCTGGGGGCTTTTGTTCTTGCTTTGTTGTGGAGATAATAGTCCCACAGACTTTCCTACCTGGGCTGGCTCTGAACTCTGATCCTCAGATCTTAGCCTCCTGAGTAGCTAGGATGACAGGTGTGAGTCATCATCTTCCAAGTAAGAAGCCTCTCCCCCCTGCCCCTGGCCCCTGAGCCCTCTTCCCCTCCCCTCTGCTCTGTGTCCCCTATCCTTGAGCTCCTGGTATTGATCAGGATCACTAAAGGAATCCTAGCCAAAGAGTTTCTCACGCAAAGGCATGCAAACTTTGACTCAGGATTGAATGTTCAGCTCCAGGCCAAGGTCCTCAAACCTCGTGAGCCTGTCAGCTTCCTTCTCTGCCCTGAGATCAGTGAGCCCCTGGACCCTTGAAGTTGTGTGGCTATCAGCCCAGCTGATGAGTAATCCAGTGTACCTGCCTTCTGTCGTAGAGGCTGGAGACAGAGACCCAAGCTGTTGTCTGTCCTCTGGTATCTTCCTTCCATTGTGGACAGCAAACCAAGCAACATGCTTGATTTCTGCTGTGTGTGTGTGTGTGTGTGTGTGTGTGTGTGTGTGCAGATCTTGGAGCTTAAACTAAGTGTCTGGGCACTGTTGCTTGATTTCTGCTCTCTGTGTGTGTGTGTGTGTGTGTGCAGATCTTGGAGCTTAAACTAAGTGTCTGGGCACTGTTGCTTGATTTCTGCTGTGTGTGTGTGTGTGTGTGTGTGAGTGTGTGTGTGTGTGTGTGTGTGTGTGTGTGTGCAGATCTTGGAGCTTAAATTAAGTATCTGGGCACTGTTCCAAGCTGGTGGCCTACCATTTAAATTGTACTTCCGTGTCTAGTGGATTTTTGGACTAGTTTATTGGAGATAAAAGTCTCATAGGAGGGGCTGGGAAGGTGGCTCAGTCGTAGAATGTTTGCCTTGCATGCATGAGGCCCTGAGTTTGATTCCTCAGTACCACATAAGCGGAAAAAGCCAGAAGTGGCGCTGTGGCTCAAGTGGTAGAGTGCTAGCCTTGAGCTGAAGAGCTGAGGGACAGCGCCCAGGTTCAGGCCCCACGACCGACAAAAAACAAAACAAAAAAGGAGCTGGGCATGGTGGCTCACTCCTGTAATCCTAGCTACTGAGGAGGCTGAGATCTGAGGATCACAGTTCAAAGCCAGCTAGCTCAGGAAAGTCTGTGAGACTCTTATCTCCAGTAAACCACTCAGAAGTAGGCAGGGCTGGGAAGGTGGCTTAGTAGTAGAGTGCTTGCCTCACATGCATGAGGCCCTTGGTTCGATTCCTTAGCATACCATAAACAGAAAAATCCAGAAGTTGCACCATGGTTCAAGTGGTAGAGTGCTAGCCTTCAGCAGAAGAGGTGAGGGACAGTGCCCAGGCCCAGAGTTCAAGCCCCATGCCTGGGGGTGAGGGGGGGGGAGAATTCCTTGCATATGGGCTGGGAAGATGGCTCAGTGGTAGAGCACTTACCTTGCATGCATGAGACCCTGGGTTTGATTCCTCAGCACCACATAAGCAGAAAA